AATTATTCAGTAAATTGCAAGATTTGGTGAAATATTTCACTTTTTATATGCCTTTCTAAAAGAAATCGTTGACAGAATTAAAAGATATTGTGAAATATGTCTCTATTCAGTTAGCTTTTTAGAAATTTGGAAGACATTCTTACCTTTGTTTCTAGAAAATCAACTGTTCAGTGCATGGCAAGATTTTGTGAAATATTTCACCATTTGGTTGACTTTTTAGAATTTTGCAAGATATATCAAATTGTTAAAAATAATTTGAGAAATCTCTGCATTTTTTAAATTTGTAACTTAATGTAAGACTATATAGAATATCAACTATTCAGTAAATTGCAGGATTTTGTGAAATATTTCACTCTTTACTTGAAATATTTCATCATTTGGTTGACTTTTTACAATTTGGCAAGATATATCAAATTTGTATAAAGAATTTTAGAAATAGTTGCATTTTTTAAATTTGTAACTGAATGTAAGACTATTTCTAGAATATCAACTATTCAGTAAATTGCAGGATTTTGTGAAATAGTTCACATTTATGTGATAAATTTCAGCATTTTGTTGACTTTTTAGAATTTTGCAATATATATAAAATTTTTATAAAGAATGTGAGAAAGCTTTTTAGAAATTTACAAGATATTTCTACTTTTGTGAAATATTTTACTACTCCGTTGAGCATTTTGAATTTTTTTTTAAATTTCAGTAAATTGCAAGATTTTGGGAAATAATTCACTATTTGTGTGACTTTATAAAATAAGTCGTTGACAAAATTCGAAGATTTTATAAATGTGTCTCTATTAAGTTGACTTTTTAGAAATTTGCAAGATATTTTTACTTTTTATAGGTATTTTATGAAAATTTTGCATTTTTGAAATTTGTAACTGAATGTAAGACTATTTCAAGAATATCAACGCTTCAGTAAATTGTAGGTTTTTGTGAAATATTTCACTATTTGTGTGACTTTATAAGATAAATCGTTGACAAAATTAGAAGATTTTGTGAAATATTTTACTATCAGTTGAATTTTTAGAAATATAAAAGATATTTCTACATTTATGAAATTTTTCACTATACATTTTATAGAGATTTTGTCAAATTTTTTAAATTTGTAACTGAATGTAATACTGTCTCTAGAAAATCTACTGTTAAGCTGTAAGATTTTGTGAAATATTTCACTATTTGGTGATATTCTAGGAAAAATCTTTGACAAATTAGAAGATTTTGTGAAATATTTCACTATTCATTTGACTAAAAATCAACTGTTCAGTAATTTTCAAGATTTTGTTAAATATTTCGCTATCATTTGGCTTTTTTGAATTTTGCAAATATTTCAAATTTTTATAGCGAAATTGAGAAATATTTTAGAATATTTGGATTTTGAGAAATCTTTGTATTTTATTAAATTCGTAACTGAATGTAAGACAGTTTCTAGAATAACAACTATTCAATAAATCACAAGAGTTTGTGAAATATTTCACTACTTGAGTGACTTTCTAAAATAAATCTTTGACAAAATTCGAAAATTTTATAAAATATTTCACTATACATTTGTGAAATTTGTTCATTTTTTTAAATTTGTAACTAAATGTAAGACTGTTTCTAGAAAATCAACTGTTCAGCTGCAAGATTTTGTGAAATATTTCACTATTTAGAAGATTTTCACTATTAATTTGACTTTTTAGAAAAAGTCATAAAAATTAACTGCTCAGTAATTTTCAAGATTTTGTGAAATATTTACTACTTTTAATTCGTTGACAGAATTAAACGATTTTGTGAAATATGTCTCTATTCAGTTAGCTTTTTAGAAATTTGCAAGATATTCTTACCTTTGTTTGTAGAAAATCAACTGTTCAGTGCATGGCAAGATTTTGTGAAATATTTCATCATTTGGTTGACTTTTTAGAATTTTGCAAGATATATAAAATTTTTATAAAGAATTTGAGAAATCCTTGCATTTTTTAAATTTGTAACTGAATGTAAGAGTATTTCTAGAATATCAACTATTCAGTAAATTGCAGGATTTTCTGAAATATTTCACTATTTATGTGCCTTTCTAAAAGAAATCGTTGTCAGAATTAAAAGATGTTGTGAAATATGTCTCTATTCAGTTAGCTTTTTAGAAATTTGCAAGATATTCTTACCTTTGTTTCTAATGTCTCTATTCAGTTGGCTTTTTAGAAATTTGGAAGATATTTTTACATTGTGAAATATTTCACCATTCAGTTGACCTTTTAGAAATTTGAAATATACTTTTTATAGAGATTTTGTGATATCTTTGCATTTTTTTTTAAATCTGTAACTGAATGTAAGACTGTCTCCAGAAAATCTACTGATAAGCTGTAAGATTTTGTGAAATAGTTCACTATTTGGTTATATTCTAGGAAAAATCTTTGACACATTAGAAATATTTCACTATTCATTTGACTAAAAATCAACTGTTCAGTAATTTTCAAGATTTTGTGAAATATTTCGCTATCATTTGGCTTTTTTGAATTTTGCAAATATTTCAAATTTTTATAGCGAATTTGAGAAATATTTTAGAATATTTGGATTTTGAGAAATCTTTGTATTGTTTTAAATTCGTAACTGAATGTAAGACAGTTTCTAGAATAACAACTATTCAATAAATCACAAGAGTTTGTGAAATATTTCACTACTTGAGTGACTTTCTAAAATAAATCGTTGACAAAATTCCAAGATTTTGTGAAATATTTCACTATACATTTGTGAAATTTGTGCATTTTTTAAAATTTGTAACTGAATGTAAGACAGGATTTTGTGAAATATTTCACTATTTATTTGCCTTTCTAAAAGAAATCGTTGACAGAATTAAACGATTTTGTGAAATATGTCTTTAATCAGTTAGCTTTTTAGAAATTTGCAAGATATTCTTCTTTGTTTCTAGAAAATCAACTGTTCAGTGCATGGCAAGATTTTGTGAAATATTTCATCATTTGGTTGACTTTTTAGAATATTGCAAAATATATCAAATTTTTATAAAGAATTTGAGAAATCTTTGCATTTTTTAAATTTGTAACTGAATGTAAGACTATTTTTAGAATATCAACTATTCAGTAAATTGCAGGATTATGTGAAATATTTCACTATTTATGTGAATTTCTAAAAGAAATCGTTGACAGAATTAAAAGATGTTGTGAAATATGTCTCTATCAGTTAGCTTTTTAGAAATTTACGAGATATTTCTACTTTTGTTTCTAGAAAATCAACTGTTGAGTGCATGGAAGGATTTTGTGAAATATTTTGTACTATTCATTTGATTTTTCATAAATTTGTAAGATATTTCTACTTTTGTGAAATATTTTACTACTCAGTTGAGCATTTTGAATTTTTTTTAAATTTCAGTAAATTGCAAGATTTTGGGAAATAAATCACTATTTGTGTGTATAAAATAAGTCGTTGACAAAATTGGAAGATTTTTTGAAATGTGTCTCTATTAAGTTGACTTTTTAGAAATTTGCAAGATATTTTTACTTTTTATAGATATTTTATGAAAATTTTGCATTTTTGAAATTTGTAACTGAACGTAAAACTATTTCAAGAATGTCAACGCTTCAGTAAATTGTAGGATTTTGTGAAATATTTCACTATTTGTGTGACTTTATAACATAAGTCGTTGACAAAATTAGAAGATTTTGTGAAATATTTTACTATCAGTTGAATTTTTAGAAATATAAAAGATATTTCTACATTTGTGAAATTTTTCACTGTGCATTTTATAGAGATTTTGTGAAATTTTTTAAATTTGTAACTGAATGTAATACTGTCTCTAGAAAATCTACTGTAAAGCTGTAAGATTTTGTGAAATATTTCACTAGTTGGTGATATTCTAGGAAAAATCTTTGACAAATTAGAAGATTTTGTGAAATATTTCACTATTCATTTGACTAAAAATCAACTGTTCAGTAATTTTCAAGATTTTGTGAAATATTTCGCTATCATTTGGCTTTTTTGAATTTTGCAAATATTTCAAATTTTTATAGCGAATTTGAGAAATATTTTAGAATATTTGGATTTTGAGAAATCTTTGTATTGTTTTAAATTCGTAACTGAATGTAAGACAGTTTCTAGAATAACAACTATTCAATAAATCACAAGAGTTTGTGAAATATTTCACTACTTGAGTGACTTTCTAAAATAAATCTGTTAGGTCACCGTATAATAATTACTAACATTATTATTTTGTTTTGTTTAAATTTTCCATTTTTTATATTATTTAAATTTATTCATATTTTTGGCTCACTGTTGCCACTGTAATTTGTCATTATTTTTTGTTCATACTAACCACTGTACATATTTTTGGTAATGACCCGTTAGTTTTTATTATTTGTTTCTCACTCCAATTCTTATTATAAGCATATTGTTGTTGCTCTTAAAAATGCAATTTCTTATTTTGGAGACTTATTGCATGTATTTTGTTTTTGCATATTTTGAATATAAATAAACAAGTTGAGTTGGTACATTGGAAGTGAGAAACAAATAATATTACAATAACAACAGTGTAGCCCTTATTTACATGATCAATTGTTAGGCTTAAGAAAAGAATTTTTAAATAAATAAATCATTGTCATAGTTGAAGTCAATCGAAAAACATCGCTCTTTTTATTTGTCGGTACCACGGTTTTTAATTTCTTTTGTTTTATAGATAATCACTGCCCATAGAACAATTTCAGCAACCTATAGACAACAATTCAAAGTAAACCGAATTGCTCTATAACGTTGCCGGTGAAGAAAAAGCTCTTCACCGGCAACTTAATCTAAATCTTACTAAATTTGTCTTTCTCGGTCCGTGGTATATTCTAAAATTGTCGTTGAAGTACAACTTAAAGTAAAAGTGTACGGTCGTATTGTGAAGTGGAAATTGTGGTTCTATGATAAAAGAGATATCTAGTGCTACAGAAATAAAAAAAGCTTTGTGGTTCAAATAAAAAACTTTTGTGCAACAAAAAAAAAAAAATTAAACATTAAAAAAAAAAACTCTGAGAAAACATATAAAAAAACTATTCGAAAAATCAAGAGACAGTGCAACATATATAAAAAACTGTTAAACAAATTTTTGGTGACGCACCTATTACAAATCTATTTTAAAAAAAACCTATTACAAACATTATAAAAATTTTGTCGGCTCAATACATAAGAACAGTTTTTGTGGAAAAATAAAATAGTGACTCTAAAATTTTACCGCAAATTTTTATATACAAGAAAATACATAAATTTGTTCGCTCTTGGTTCCAGTATATAATATAAAATTCTGTGTATATTTAATTTGTCGCTCGGAATATTGCGTGTCATCCATTTTGTAAATACTTTTGGACATTTTTGGCTCATCTAACCTTACTTATTGAAAATTTATGATGACTCTGGAGGAGGTTAAGCGGCAACGGGCTAACACTAAGAAGAGCATTACCCGCATCAAGAACCAAATCGAAGCCAATGGAAGGGGAGAAGGTAAGACACTTTCGTCAGCCGAGTTGAAGTGCCGTTTGGGGATTTTGGAGTCATATTTTAAGCAGATACTGACGTATCAAACCCAATATGAAAACAAGTAAGAAAGTATAGTCGGGCGTGGCCGACCATATGATACCCTACACCAGTTATGAATATTAAATGTGATTTATTTTTCATAATAAAGCATTTATCTTCAATATTCCCTTGTTCCGATACATTTAAGCAATTTATGGATGAAAATCTAATTTTCTGAAAGAGGCTTTATATGGGGGCTAGGGGCAAATATGGACCAAGCCCGATAAAATTTTGTGAATATATTTATATTTACATAATATTTTATTGTGCTAAATTTCATCGCGATATTTGTGTTTATAAGTTAATTTGGGACATTCAAGTAATTTTCTGAAGGGGACTTTGTATGGGAGCTAGGGTCAAATGGGGCCCGATCTTTATGAAATTTGGCAGGGTCATCCAGACTTCTATAAAACTTAGTTGTGCCGCATTTTATCGATATATCTGTAAATTTAACAAAATTATGAGCTCAAAAGCCCTTTTCGGGGGGTTCTGTTCTATGGGGGCTAGGTGAAATAATGGACCGATTTCAACCATTTTCAATAGGCTTCGTCCTTGGGTCAAATAAAACGTGCGTGCCAAATTTCATCCAATTATCTTGAAAATTGCGACCTGTACCTTGCGCACAAGGTTTACATGGACAGCCAGCCAGCCAGCCAGCCTGCCAGACGGACGGACGGACGGACGGACATAGCTTAATCGACTCAGAAAACGATTCTAAGCCGATTGGTATACTTTAAGGTGGGTCTAGGACGAATATTTTTGTATGTTACAAACATCAGCACAAATCCAATATACCCTCCCCACTAAAGTGGTGTAGGGTATAAATACGATCCCGAGGACAATGCTAGGCCCGAAATAGAGGATTTGTACATCTCAGCCAAAATGAATATCCAGTCGCAGCTTGGTGAAGATGTTCATAATACAACATTGTCCGAGTCCACCATTTGTTTCCCAGCTCCCAGCCACAAATTGCCTCAGCTGAAATTGCCCACATTTAGTGGTAAGTACAGTGAGTACAAAAATTTCATTACGTCGTTCAATCAAGTTATCGATCGCGAGTTTGGCCTATCAAATATTGAAAAGTTTAATCATTTGCTCAACTGCCTCCAAGGCCAAGCTCTAGAAACGGTCAAGGCTTTCCAGATTACGAACGAAAATTACCCGAAGGCTCTGGAAAGGCTCAAAACGCGTTATGATAATAGCTCGCTTATTTTTATGGAAAATATTACCGCCCTTTTTGAACTTCCTGCCATGTCCAAATACAATTGTGCCCAATTACGAAGTCTCGTCGATAATGTTTCTGCCCTTTATAGTTCCTTACTGTCTCTTGGCTCACATAGTGATATTGCTAATTCCATGCTGATTTACATAGTGATGGAAAAAGTGGATGAAGATACCAGAAGAAAGTGGAAAGATTCCTTGGACTTTACCAGATTGCCAACATGGGATGATTGCTCCAAGGTCCTTGAAAGGCGTTGTCAATTTTTGGAATCGGTTGATACCAACCATACTTTTGTGGCCCCTCGTAAGCCTGATCATCAATCTGGTGAGTCCAAATCTAAAAATTCAAAACCTGGGTATACTTTTTCGGTATCAAAACGCTCTTGTGTGCTTTGCTCCAAATCTGACCACTCAATTAGTCGTTGTTCTCGGTTCAAAGATATGGATGTTAGTCAAAGGTATGAAAATGCAAAACGTCTAAGCCTTTGTCTAAATTGTTTGTCCAAAAGGCATCAAGTAAGTAGTTGTTCCTCCACATTCAAGTGCAAATTTTGTTCTCGCTCGCATCATAGTTTGCTTCATTGGTCTCAGCCAGCTTCTCGGCCCTCGTCCCCTGCTGCTGAACCTATTACTTCTCATGTTGCCTTGAATGAATCTTCTGCCTCGGTCCATACCCATATGGAAAAATCCTCGCCGGAACAGGTGCTGCTTGCTACTGCCATGGTTATAGTTCGTGACTCCACTGGTCGCTATCAATTGGGACGCGCTTTGTTAGATTCTTGCTCTCAATTGAATTTCATAACCGATGAATTTTCCCAAAAATTACATTTGCCTCGTACAAAACTCTTAGCAAATCTAAATATAGGTCGTCCACAAATGTAAAATCTCGAGTCACAGATTTTGAAGTTTCGCTCTCATTTTGTGTCACACCTCATATTTCATATCAACCTGATAATGAATTAGATGTCTCATCCTGGAATTTGCCCCCAAATACTTGCGGATGAAAACTTCTTCAAATCAAAACGAATTGATTTACTTATTGGTACTGAAACGTTTTTCGACATTTTAGCAGTTGGTCAAATAAAACTTGGCCCTAATTTGCCTAAATTACACAAAACACTTTTCGGATGGATTGTAGCAGGTCGTTATGTATCAAAACAACCCAATATTTGTGGCTCTTCTTGTATGCTCTCGACAGAAGAAGATATTGATCTTAAATTACAGCGCTTGTGGGAAATTGATGAAGTTCAATCAAATGATTTGACAACAGAACAATCTGAATGTGAAACATTTTTCAATGATACTGTTCATCGTGAATCTTCTGGTAGGATTGTTGTTAAATTGCCCTTCAAGGAATCTCCTGACGCTTTAGGTCTTTCTCGAAATATGGCTCTTAAAAGATTTGTATCTCAAGAGAGACGATTTGCTCGTGACAGCAATCTTAAATCACAATATGTTGCTTTTATGAAGGAGTATGAAGATTTTGGACATATGAGTCTAGTTCGTAGCCCTCGTCTACACGAGCCTCATTATTTCATCCCTCACCATTGCGTTTTCAAACCAAGTAGCACTTCCACAAAGTTAAGAGTTGTTTTCGATGCCTCGTGTCCATCATCGTCCCAGAAGTCTCTCAATGATCTTCTTATGGTTGGCCCAACAATTCAAGATGAGCTGTATAAAATTTTACTTCGGTTCCGTCTTCATCGCTTCGCTCTTACTGCCGATATAGTAAAAATGTATCGACAAGTCCTTATTGACTCCCAAGATAAAAAATTCCAATATATTTTGTGGAGAAATTCAGAAGAGGAAGAAATTCGAACATATCACCTAAATACAGTCACCTATGGAATGTCAGCTGCGCCCTACCTTGCCATCAAAAGCCTTCACTATCTCGCAGACCAATACATGGACCAATTCGAACTTGGTGCAAAAACCATTAAGTCATCATTTTACGTTGATGATTTTCTTTGTGGCTCAGATACGCTTGAAGAATTGTCTCGTATGAAGCAGGAGGTTAATGAAATTCTAATTCGTGATTCGTTTCAATTAGATAAGTGGCACTCTAATCATAGAGATTTTCAGGACGACAAAACTGTCAAAGACCTTAATATTGAAGATTCTGCAGTAACTAGCGCTCTTGGTATCTCTTGGGACCAACAAAAAGATGTTTTCCTATTTTTGTTTTCGCCTAAAGTCCAAATTGATGAAAAAATAACCAAACGTACAATTTTGTCGCTCTCGTCAGCGCTTTTCGATCCCCTAGGACTTTTATCCCCTCTCATAATAAAAGCTAAAATCATCATGCAAGAGTTGTGGATTCTAAAAATTGGCTGGGATGAGTCTGTACCTCAAGAAATACACTCGGCTTGGAAATCTTTCGTCTCTGATCTCAAACTATTACCTTCACTTAAAATTCCTCGTTTTTGTCTCGCTCCTGATTCTAAATCAGTTCAACTTCATGGCTTTTGTGACTCATCAATTCGTGCTTATGGTTGTTGTTTTTACTTTCGTGTTAAAACTTCTTCAGGAAATGTTGTTGTTCGGCTCTTTACTGCCAAATCTAGAGTTGCTCCTACAAAGCGAAAATCGTTACCCAAACTTGAGTTATGTGGCGCACAACTTCTAGCAAAATTGTATTCCAAAATCAAAAATCTTTTCGCAATACCAAATCTGGAAGTCGTTCTGTGGACAGATTCGCAACTAGTTCTTCACTGGCTAAAGCAACATTCATCTACTTTGTCAGTTTTTGTTGGCAATAGGGTATCAGAAATTCAAGATCTAACTAATGGCTGCGTTTGGCGACATGTCCCAACCCAGTTCAACCCTGCTGACATCGTTTCTCGTGGTTCAACTGTGCAGGAACTCGCCTCATCCATCTGGTTCAACGGACCAGCATTTCTCGCTCTCGATCCTGTTCAGTGGCCCCCTACTAAAACTGATAAACTCTCCGAAGAAAATCAGCAAGTATTCGACAAAGAAAAACGGAAAACCGTACTTCATCTTGAAACAAAATCTAACTACATCCTCGATTCTGTTGGAAAATATAGCTCCTACTTAAAAATCATTCGTATTATTGCCTGGATGTTTCGTTTTGCTCAAAAAACAAAAACTAATATTTCCAATTCTGACTCTTTGCAGCCCCAAGAATTAGAAAATGCTAAACTTTGTATCGTTTTCAACATCCAGAAACTACATTTTCAAGATGACATAACTCGAGCTCTAAAGAAGAAATATCCCCAAGGTGCTCTAAAGTGTCTGAACCCCTTCCTAGATTCGTCAAATGGTTTCAACTTGCTCAAGGTCGGCGGACGCTTGGAGTACGCGGCAATTTCTGAAGGCCAAAAACACCCCATAATCTTGCCCAGCAAATGCCATTTCGTCCACTGTTACGTACGTCATCTGCACACCAGTAACTACCACGCTGGACCCAAGGCTCTAATGTCATTGATTCGCCAACAATTTTGGATCATCAACTCCAGGAATTTGTGTCGCAGCATTGTAAATTCGTGCCCTCAATGCATTCGCTAACGCCCAAAATTGTTGCAACAAATGATGGGAAATTTGCCTGTGGAACGACTCAACCCGTCAAGGCCCTTTGCAAGGTGTGCTGTTGATTTTTGTGGTCCAGTCAACACCTTCCTAAGAATTAGAGGAAAGGTCCCCTACAAGACATACATCGCTATATTTGTTTGTCTCGCTACCAAAGCTGTCCATATTGAAGTGGTATCCGACCTGTCAACAGATGCCTTCATTGCTGCCCTAAAACGGATGATTGGTCGTAGAGGTCTGCCCACAGATATATTCTGTGATAATGCAACAAATGCAAACTCTAAGTTGGCTCAATTAAAGTCGTTCCTTTTTGAGCCAAAAAATTCAAATTTTATTACAAATTATTGCTCGAATCAATTTATTAATTTTCGATTTATTCCCCCTAGGGCACCACATTTTGGCGGATTGTGGGAGGCGGCGTCAAATCGGCCAAAGGTCACTTAACCAGAACCCTGGACAACACAAGGCTCACCTACGAAGAACTCGCAACGGCTATGATTGAGATAGAGGCAGTTTTAAACTCGAGGCCCATTTCGCATCTATCCTCAGATCCCAGTGACTTTGAAGCTCTTACACCAGGACACTTCTTGATAGGCGCTCCCCTCCGTAGTTTGCCAGAACGTGATGTTCCTATAAAAGAGATTAACAAACTTGAATATTGGGCCCGAATAAGCGCCATCAAGCAACAATTCTGGAAAAAGTGGTCCCATGATTATATAAATGAGCTCCAGACTCGCAACAAATGGACTAGCACCAACTCTAATATTACCCCTCATCATCAAAGAAGATAATTTACCCCCGCAGCGTTGGCTCATGGGTAAAATCATCAACATTGTTCGTGGAAGAGATGATCGTGTTCGAGTTGTCGACATCAAAACTACAAAAGGAGTTATACGTCGCCCCATCCACAGACTAGCTCTTCTATCTTCTTGAAAGTGTCCTTTCAATGGGGCCGGAATGTTAGGTCACCGTATAATAATTACTAACATTATTATTTTGTTTTGTTTAAATTTTCCATTTTTTATTGTATTTAAATTTATTCATATTTTTGGCTCACTGTTGCCACTGTAATTTGTCATTATTTTTTGTTCATACTAACCACTGTACATATTTTTGGTAATGACCCGTTAGTTTTTATTATTTGTTTCTCACTCCAATTCTTATTATAAGCATATTGTTGTTGCTCTTAAAAATGCAATTTCTTATTTTGGAGACTTATTGCATGTATTTTGTTTTTGCATATTTTGAATATAAATAAACAAGTTGAGTTGGTACATTGGAAGTGAGAAACAAATAATATTACAATAACAACAGTGTAGCCCTTATTTACATGATCAATTGTTAGGCTTAAGAAAAGAATTTTTAAATAAATAAATCATTGTCATAGTTGAAGTCAATCGAAAAACATCGCTCTTTTTATTTGTCGGTACCACGGTTTTTAATTTCTTTTGTTTTATAGATAATCACTGCCCATAGAACAATTTCAGCAACCTATAGACAACAATTCAAAGTAAACCGAATTGCTCTATAACGTTGCCGGTGAAGAAAAAGCTCTTCATCGTACAAAATCTTTGACAAAATTCGAAAATTTTGTGAAATATTTCACTATTCAGTTGAATGTTTAGAAATATAAAAGATATTTCTACCTTTGTGAAATATTTCACTATACATTTGTGAAATTTGTGCATTTTTTTAAATTTGTAACTAAATGTAACACTGTTTCTAGAAAATCAACTGTTCAGCTGCAAGATTTTGTGAAATATTTCACTATTTAGAAGATTTTCACTATTAATTTGACTTTTTAGAAAAAGTCATAAAAATTAACTGCTCAGTAATTTTCAAGATTTTGTGAAATATTTACTACTCAGTTGACTTTTTAGAAATTTGCAGGATATTCCTACTTTTGTTTCTAGCTAATCAAATGTTTAGTGCATGGCAAGATTTTGTGAAATATTTCACCATTTTTCATTTTTGTGAAATATTTTGCTACTCAGTTGAGCTTTTAGAAATTTTCTGAAATTTCAGTAAATTGCATGATTTTGGGAAATATTTCACTATTTGTGTGACTTTATACAATGAGTCGTTGACAAAATTCGAAGATTTTTTGAAATATATTCTATTAAGTTGACTTTTTATAAATGCCTTTCTAAAAGAAATCGTTGACAGAATTAAAAGATTTTGTGAAATATGTCTCTATTCAGTTAGAAATATTTCACTATTCATTTGACTAAAAATCAACTGTTCAGTAATTTTCAAGATTTTGTGAAATATTTCGCTATCATTTGGCTTTTTTGAATTTTGCAAATATTTCAAATTTTTATAGCGAATTTGAGAAATATTTTAGAATATTTGGATTTTGAGAAATCTTTGTATTGTTTTAAATTCGTAACTGAATGTAAGACAGTTTCTAGAATAACAACTATTCAATAAATCACAAGAGTTTGTGAAATATTTCACTACTTGAGTGACTTTTTTTTTATTTCACAATTTAGAAGATTTTGTGGAATATTTCACTATTAATTTGACTTTTTAGAAAAAGTCATAAAAATTAACTGCTCAGTAATTTTCAAGATTTTGTGAAATATTTACTACTCAGTTGACTTTTTAGAAATTTGCAGGATACTTTTGTTTCTAAAAAATCAAATGTTTAGTGCATGGCAAGATTTTGTGAAATATTTCGTCATTTGGTTGACCTTTTAGAATTTTGCAAGATATATAAAATTTTTATAAAGAATTTGAGAAATATTTGCATTTTTTATACCCTCCACCACCATCAGTGGTGATAGAGGGTATATATAACTTTGTCATTCCGTGTGTAACACCAAGAAATATTCATCTGAGACCCAACAAAGTATATATATTCTGGGTCCTTATCAAATTCTGAGTCGATTTAGCTATGTCCGTCTGTCTGTCCGTCTGTCTGCCTAAAACACGCTCACGTTAAAACTAAGCAAAGGAAGTACACCAAATTCACCGAAAATATTCATTGTTGTCTTAAGCAGTTTGGTATTGAAAATGAGCAAAATCGGTTCATACCGGGAAAAGTTATGAATCAAAATTTAAAACAACCTCGAAAAAAATAAGCATTTTTTACACATTCGGATGCAATTTTCTCGAAAACTATGCAAGATAAATTCATGAAAATCACCACACATAAGTTTCTACACAAGAACTTGATCTCTGCTGAAAATTGCTAGAATCGGTCCACAATTTCATATACCTCCCATACAAAAGTACATATTCCCGGAAAATGGGTTTTTTGTAAATAACTTCCGCCACAATGTCGATATCTTCACAAAATTTTACAAATTAAAATCCTATGTCTATAGAATTCATTCAGAGAAAAAATTTTCTGGATCGGTCCATAATTGGACATAGCTCCCATACAAGGTCCCCTCCCGAAAATCACTTAAACGCGCATAACTCATTACTTAACTAAGATATCTATATAAGATTTGGTGCAAGTATTGCTTATCTATACAGAAATATTACTCAGAAAGTTTTTTCCGATCGGTCCATAATTGGTCATAGCTCCCATACAAGGTCCCCTCCCGAAACTCACTTAAACGCACATAACTCATTACAAAATAAAGATATCCATATAAAATTTGGTAGAAGTATTGCCCGTATGCACAAAAATATTACTGTGAAATTTTTTTCCGATAGGTCTATAATTGGTCATAGCTCCTGTACAAGGTCCCCTCCCGAAAATCACTTAAAACCACATAACTCATTAGTAAATGAAGACATCCATATAAAATTTGGTACAAGTATTGCTCTTATATACAGAAATATTACTATGAAAGTTTTCTTGGATCGGTCCATAATTGGTCATAGCTCCCATACAAGGTCCCCTCCCGAAAATCACTTAAACGCGAATAACTCATTACTGAAGTAAGATATCCATATAAAATTTGGTACAAGTATTGCTTATATGCACAGAAATATTACTGTGAAATTATTTTCCTATCAGTCCATAATTGATCATAGCTCCCATACAAGGTCCCTTTCAGAAAAACACTTAAAGGCACGTAGCTCATTACCTAATAACCCATAAAATATGTGGCATAAATATTATCTTTGTACACTTAAATGTTATTTCAAATTTTTTTCATGATTGGTCCATTCTTGGTCGTAGCTCTCATACAAGGTTCCCTCCCGAAAATCACTTAAACGCACATAACTCATTACCAAATATTGATATCCATACATTTAGCAAAAACATACATAAATTAACCTATAAAATTGTTGTACGATCGGTCCATATTTGTTCATAGCTCTCATACTAGGTCCCCTCCAGAAAATCACTTAAATGCACAATATTCATTACCAAATAATGATATAGATACAGAATTTTGAAATTTTGTCTTTATATACATAATTGGCCATAGCTCCCATACAAGGTCCTTTTACGAAAATCCTTTAAACGCACATTACTCTTTACCAAATAAAGCTATTGATACAAAATTTGGCATAAATATTAGTTTTGTATACAAAAATTCTATTTCCAGATTTTTTCACGATCGGTTCATAACATGGGTGCGGTCGGTCCCATAAAAGTTTCCTTTCAGAAAATCAAATAAACACTCATAACTTATTACAAAATTACGATATAGATACAAAATTTGACTGAAATATAGCTTTTATGTACAGAAATTTTGCTTAAAGAATTTTTTACGATCGGTCTATAATTGGTCATATCTCCCATACTAGGTCCTGCCCCTAAAAGCACTTTAACCGTATTTAACTATTTGCATTATCAATTTGTGTAGAACAAAATTATATATATATGTATTTTGAAAATTCTTAAATCTTTCACACACATGCATACATGCAAATTACTAAATATTGCTAAGCGCTATAAAAATATAAAGAAAATGGCGTTTGTAATGTTCAATAAATCTTGGAATTGTAATAGATTTAAGCAGTTTAAATCTTGGGATTTTTCTATTTAAGACATGAGAAAACTTATTTGTACAAATATTCGATCAATTAGAAAAGTATTAATATAAAAGTAGCTGGTGGAGGGTATTTAAGATTCGGCTCAGCCGAATATAGCACTCTAACTTGTTAAATTTGTAACTGAATGTAAGACTGTTTCTAGAATATCAACTATTCAGTAAATTGTAGGATTTTGTGAAATATTTCACTATTTGTGTGACTTTATAACATAAATCGTTGACAAAATTAGAAGATTTTGTGAAATATTTTACTATCAGTTGAATTTTTAGAAATATAAAAGATATTTCTACATTTGTGAAATTTCTCACTATACATTTTATAGAGATTTTGTAAAAGTTTTGCATTTTATAAATTTGTAACTGAATGTAATACTGTCTCTAGAAAATCTACTGTCAAGCTGTAAGATTTTGTGAAATATTTCACTATTTGGTGATATTCTAGGAAAAATCTTTGACAAATTAGAAGATTTTGAGAAATATTTCACTACTCATTTGACTAAAAATCAACTGCTCAGTAATTTTCAAGATTTTGTGAAATATTTGGCTATCATTTGGCTTTTTTGAATTTTGCAAAAATTTCAAATTTTTATAGCGAATTTGAGAAATATTTTAGAATATTTAGATTTTGAGAAATCTTTGTATTTTTTTAAATTCGTAACTGAATGTAAGGCAGTTTCTAGAATAACAACTATTCAATAAGAGTTTGTGAAATATTTCACTACTTGAGTGACTTTGTAAAATAAATCTTTGACAAAATTCGAAAATTTTGTGAAATATTTCACTATTCAGTTGAATGTTTAGAAATATAAAAGATATTTCTACATTTGTGAAATATTTCACTATACATTTGTGAAATTTGTGCATTTTTTTAAATTTGTAACTAAATGTAAGACTGTTTCTAGAAAATCAACTGTTCAGCTGCACGATTTTTTGAAATATTTCACTATTTAGAAGATTTTGTGGAATATTTCACTATTAATTTGACTTTTTAGAAAAAGTCATGAAAATTAACTGCTCAGTAATTTTCCAGATTTTGTGAAATATTTACTACTCAGTTGACTTTTTAGAAATTTGCAGGATATTCCTACTTTTGTTTCCAGAAATTCAAATGTTTAGTGCATGGCAAGATTTTGTGAAATATTTCATCATTTGGTTGACTTTTTAGAATTTTGCAAGATATATCAAATTTTTATAAAGAATTTGAGAAATATTTGCATTTTTTAAATTTGTAACTGAATGTAAGAGTATTTCTAGAATATCAACTATTCAGTAAATTGCAGGATTTTGTGAAATATTTCACTACTTATGTGATATATTTCAGCATTTGGTTGACTTTTTACAATTTTGCAAGATATATCAAATTTTTATAAAGAATTTGAGAAATCTTTGTATTTTTTAAATTTGTAACTGAATTGCAGGATTTTGTGAAATATTTCAC